AACTTGAAGCCCAGAGGGGTTAAGTAATTAAGATAACACAGCCGGTCACCAACACTAATCACTGCCTCTGTCCTGCTATGTGCTAGGCACTGTTCTATTTCCTTTCTTCAGGCTTATCTTGTTTTATTGTGCTTCTCTTTCCTGCACCTAACAGATACTGTGTTTTTTACAAATTGAAAATAAGACCCTTTATCAGCAGAAAGATTACAACTCTCTGAAGGCTCAGGTGATGGTTATTATATTTTAGCAATAAAGTATTTTTAAATTAAGGTATGTACGTGGTTTTTTTAGACAGAACGCTATTGCACACTTAATAGAGTATAGTGTAGCCCAGCCAGGCGTGGCTCAGCGGTTGAGCGTCGACCTGGGATCCAGGCAATTGGGGTTCGATTCCTGGTCAAGGCACATGCCCGGGTTGCGGGCTCTGTCAATGACTCTCTCATCATTGATGTTTCTATCTCTCGCTCTCTCCCTCTCCTTTCCTCTCTCTCAAGTCAATAAATATATATTTTTAAAAAAATAGAGTATAGTGTAAACATAACTTTTATATATGCTGGGAAACCAAAAAAAATTGTGTGAGTTGCTTTATTGTGGTGGTCTGGCACCAAACCTGCAATATCTCTGAGGTATGCCTGTATATTAACTCCCCTAATCTTCACAACAACCCTATGGGCTAAATACTTTTATTATTCTCACTTCATGATGAAGAAATTGAGGCTCAGAGAGATTAGTACGTTCCTGGCTGTGTGGCAGAATCCACAATTCAGACCTAGGCAGTCTGGCTCCAAAATTATACCAGCTTTCTTTTGGTTAGTATTTCCTTTACTTTTGTTTTTATTATTTAACAAATTTTTTAATAGTAAAATGAATTTTTTATTTTGAAATCAAACAGAATACACATACCAGATGTATAGCTTAATGAATTATTAAAAGACGATACCACCTAGGTCAGGGTGTAGAACCGTGCTAGCCATGCCAGAGCTGCTCTGTTGCCCCATCCCAATCACAACTACTTCTGTGCTATTGTTAGTAGCCATTCTTCTGACTTTTATAGTAATTGCTTCCTTATGTTTTAAAAAAAGTTTTTTCATAAATTCACATTCCTAGACATTAAAATGTAGTTTGGCTCATTAAATTTTTTTTAAAAGCTTAATTTGTAGGCTTTCTCTCTGTTCCTTTTTCTTACAATTTATCTGATGAAGAGCCTGGATCATTTAACCTGTATATCCTACAGTCTGGATTTTGCTGATTGTATAATCATGCATAGTTCATAGGTTCCCCTGCCTTGGGTAGTAGTTCCTGCACATTGAAAGCTGGATTCCAGACTGGATCAGACTGAGAGTCAATCCCCTTGGCAGTTCTCTAGGTAGTGGTTGGCAAGACCATAGAAGGTGCATACTTTGTCATTGTTTCTCTCTTCCTAATCTCAGCAGCTGGTGCTACTTGATGCCTATATTCACTGAAGATTGCAAAATAGTGGTATTGTAATTCAATCATGTGTTTTTCACTTATTGGTTGGAATACCAGTCCTTTATCATTTGGATAGGCAGCAGTATAATTCCTTTAGGAAAGGATGCGTTTATGCTTAATTCCTACCATTTATTTACTAATTTTCAAGATAATAAGTTGGTTCTTTATCTCCTTTTTTTCCCCACTTTAAATTTTATTAAGTTTACATTTTAATGTATATATTATTGACAATGTTACACATTCACAGAGTTGAATTTTCCAATTTAAATGTCTTTATATTGAAAATATTCACTTAACTCACTATTTTAATAATTCTGGTCCTTCCCTAAAGTCAACAAATATTTTTTATTGTACTTCTTTTTAGGAAAGCATTTATATATAAATAAGTTATGTAAATTTATACTTTTTCCAGTGAAAATTATTCACTATCCTCTACTTGATTTTTAACGTACACATACATCTTTGAGATAATTCATAACCAGTATATGAAGAGCATCATCATTTATTTTTACATCTACATAATATTTCATTTGTCTATCCTGGCACATTGTGTGTTACCAGAATTTATTTGCCAGTTCCCAGTTGATGAGTATCTAGTTTGCTTCCATTTTTTTGTGCTCTTATAAGTAATATTATAGTAAATAATCTTGTATATTGGTTTCTTATCTTCTGAAGAAAATTTTTAAAAATCCAATATCAGTATAAGGTCGTGAATTTAAACATGTTTGTTGCATTTCAGTTCATTGCGGTTATTATCACTATTGAAACTTATGTTATCTCATCTTTGGCTGGGGGTAGGGCATCTACTCAAGCCTACTTTCTGATATGACTACTAGTCTTGGATAACTTCCACATTGTCTGATATCTTGAAAGTTCTTTCCCCAATCTGAAAGTATCCATTTCTTCAAGAAACACTGGTTTCTTTTAAAAGCTAACTGGCATTTTAAGGTCATAGGGATCCTGAGTCAGTCACTGCTTTAGGCTCTTCAGTAGACAGAGCTAGGATACTTCTATCTATCTGTAGACCCACACATTAAAGATGAAATATCACCCTCACCAGGTGGCTCAGTTGGTTGGAGTGTTGTCCCATACACCAAAAGGTTGCCTGTTTGATTCCCAGTCAGGGCACATACCTAGGTTGTGGTTTGATCCCCAGCTGGGGTGAACACAGGAGGCAACTGATCAATGTTTCTCACATCGATGTTTCTCTCTCTGTGTTCCTCTCTCTTTAAAATCAATAAACATATCCTCAGGTGAGGATTAAAAACAAACTGACAAAAAGATAAAATATCTCATGAGTTCACATGAATACTTTCAATTCAAGCTACCTAGGTTGTGGGTTTGATCCCTGGTCAGGGTGCCTACGGGAGGCAATTGATCGATATTTCTCATATCAATGCTTTTCTAACCCTCCCTCCTTCCCTCTCCCCTTCCCTCTCCCCTTCCCTCTCCCCTTC